TTGCTTTCAAAGATCCAGCAGACGGAAGGTCTCCACTTCACTTTCTCCTTCAAACGTAGAACAAGCCCAAAACCATCCTCCGATCCTACTCAGAATCCCTCAATCATCGACCTAACAGCCCAAAATCCCCATTATGCCTTTCCCTCTTATCAAACAACACCCCCTCCTCAAAATACCAACCCTTAAGTGCCACTTCCTCCCCAAAATGCCAACCTCCAAATTGGTCCACCCCCTCAAAACCAAAACGTTAACAACCCGCAAGCTTCTCTTCGTTACTAAAATCAACATACCATCCCCCAGACTTTCCCCCAAATCTACCAAGCCACTCATAATGCCCAAAGTCCCTCCATTGCTCCACTTCTTCCTCAAAAAGCCACTTTCCAAATCCTGATCCCCAATGATCATGACGCCAACGGTTCTGAGCTCGACCATTATAAGGAGCGAGAGAGAGAGTGGAGGTCAAAGGAAGAGGCCGCCAAGCTGGATATGAAGGAAGAGATCCTAAAGGCCATGAAATAGTTGTAGTGTATTTCTGAAGTCGCCGGTTTGAGTTATGAGGATTAATGCATTCATCCGAATTGGACCTCTCGAAAGGTCAAGGTGCCAAAGTTTGACGTTTTCGAAGGAATAGAGAACCCTTTAGCATACCTGAGGGCCTACTGTGACCAGCTCGTGGGAGTTGGAACAGATAAAGCTTTACTGATGCGGCATTTTAGCCGAAGTCTGAGTGGAGAGGCTCTAGAATGATTTACATCTCATGAAACAAGACAGTGGCCTAGCTGGAATGCTTTGGCTAAGGACTTTATCGAATGATTCGCCTACAATTTGGAGATCGTTCCTGATCGTTATTCCTTGGAAAAAATGAAGCAAAAATCAAATGAAAGTTACAGAGTATTCACATGCATATGGAGAAAGGAGGCAGCTAGAGTTTGGCCTCCTATGTTTGAAAAGGAAATTGTTGAAGTATTTGTGCGGGTTCAAGAGCGAGAATATTTTGATAGAATCATGTTGCTCGTTGGAGCAAAGTTTGCTGACATAGTCAAAATAGGTGAGACTATCGAAGATGGATTAAGAACCGAAAAGATTGCTCGTGTTGCTGCCTCGCCCGGATCCTCGGGTTTGTTGAAGAAGAAAAGAGAAGATGTGTCTTCTATCTCTTATGAGGGGAAGAAGACCCCAAGGAAATCCTTATCATACAAGGTCGTACTCAGCTTGTTATGCGCAGGTTGATTACCAAAATACCGCTCCCCTAGTTACCAAAATACTAATCCCTCCAGTTACCGAAATACCAATCCCCCCAGTTATCAAAATACTCCCCCTCCTAGCTACCAAACTCCCCCTCCTATCTACCAAACTCCTTTTCCAGTTTACCAGACTTCATCTCATCACTACCGAAATGTCACCCCCAACTAGGCCAACGTTCAGACAAATTACCAAACGCCTCCCCCAAATGACCAAACTGCAGCTCCACTTTACCAAAATACCCCATCGAACTACCAAGCTCCACAATCAAATTACCAAACCAACTCATACCCCAGATATCAATACCCACATCCAAACTCTCCAAATTATCGTCAAATGCCTCTTCCTCAACAAGGCAATTACAATCCCCCCCCCCCCGTCCTAGATTTGAGAAGAAACCTGCTAGAATTTTCATTTCGCTGATTGAAAGCCGAACAAAGTTGTTAGAGCGATTAACTACGGCATGATATATTCATTCAGTGGGGCCCAAGTCGATTGACACTAGCTCAAAGTTTTACAGACCTGATCAGAGGTGTGCATATCACTCCAACAATGTTGGACATGATACCGAGAACTGTATCAACCTGAAGCATAAGATCCAAGACCTGATCGACCAGAACATGGTCTCTCTTCAGACAGTAGCGCCCAATGTCAATAGTAATCATATGCCAAATCATAGAGCGTCACTATCAATATGATAGAGACTGATGATGATTTGTGCGTGACAAAGGCAATAGTTCCGATCGCTCCTGATGAACTGGAAAGGGCTGTAGCCTCGTTGAGCATTAGAAAGATTAAAGAGTTTGTGATTCTGACACCCGAGAAGGCTGTTGCCTTGGTGCCAAGAGAAATTCTTGACCGACCAAATTTTGCGATTGAAATGGCTATTACCCAGGGTCTGACCAGATCCGGCAGGTGCTACATACCAGAAGAGTTAGCTTATGGAGTGCAGAAGAAAGATCAGTCTAAAAGGCCGATTAGTGAAGCTGAAGCGGAGGAGTTTTGGAGAAAAATGCACTCGAATGATTATTTGATTGTGAAGCATTTGGAAAAGACGTCGGCTCAGATTTCTGTATGGGCCTTATTAATGAGTTCACAGTTGCACAGGCAGGTTCTGATGAAGGCTCTGGATGACACTTTGTGCCCGGGGGAACCAACAACGACAATCTAGCAGCCATGACAAACCAGGTTATTCGAGGACATCGTATCAGTTTTTGTGATGAAGAGTTACCCTTTGAAGGAAGGATGCACAACAAAGTTCTGCACATCACCACTATGTGTCGAGACAAGATAATAAATCGCGTCTTGGTCGAGCCTATCCAAATTCCCGCCAAATGAGCAAGTTTGGTTTGGGGTATGTCCCCACAGATGATGAAGCAAAGATGAAGAATAAGAGTGTTGATCAAGCGTTGGCCAGGCCAATTCTTCATCTCTACCAGTCGTTCCCGGTGTGAGGATGTGTCAATGATGATGGTCTCGAGAAAGGAATCTGGGCCTTTTTGAGAAGATTAATGCGGTCATCAAGGAAGAAGCTGGGACATCAGGCATCCGTGACGCAGAACCTGAGGAGAAGTTGCAAAATTAGACCTTCACACCACTTTTGATTTTCCGCTCATCTGGGTAGAAAGGACATGTGTTTTGTTTGTTTTTAAAATTGGTGGTAGTCTGGAAGAGGTCCGAAATCCACCCGTTATGCAGTTTTTATCTGTTTGAAGTTTTTAAATTCCCTTGTGTTGTTTAAAAAGGCAAAATAACCCTCGGTCATGGCCAAAGTTTGTGTTTGTTTTTCAATTTATATGAAAACCTCTTTTATCGAAAATTTGTTTACTTATCTATTTATATTTTACTTTTCTAACTTTGTTTGTTTATGCTTTCAGTAATAGTAATTTAAAACATGTTAATGTCATGTCATGTCATAAGATGAACGAATGAAATGAGGCAGGTGATGATGAATGCGAGGTGCATGAAGATGAAAATAAGGTACCCAAACATGTTGCCGAAGAGTTTCGACAATTTGAGAATAAACACAAGCTGAATTTCGAAGAGACTGAAACTGTGAATCTCAGAGATGAGGAATGTGTTAAAGAAGTAAGAATTGGTGTCCATCTAACGGAAGCTCAAAGAAGAGACTGGTTCGCTTGCTCAGAGAATACATCGACGTATTTGCCTGGTCTTACAGGGATATGCCAGGGCAAAGTACGAATATGGTGTCCCACAAATTGTCGATTAGTCTAGATTTAAGTCCAGTAAAGCAAAAGACTCGGAAGTTCAAGCCTAAGTTTAGTTTAAAAATCATAGGGGAGATTACCAAGCAGATCGAGTCTCAAGTAGTGGAAGTGATGCAATATCCGACTTGGTTAGCCAATGTTGTTCCGGTTGCTAAGAAAGACGGAAAGATCAGGATTTGCGTTGACTATATAGATCTCAACAAAGCAAGCCCAAAAGATAATTTTCCATTACCAAACATCCACATTCTCATTGATAATTGTTCTAAGCATAAGATACAGTCATTTGTGGATTGTTATGCAGGTTACCACTAGATCCTGATGGATGAAGATGATGTAGAAAAGACAGTTTTCATTACGCCTTGGGGGGTATATCATTATCGGGAGATGTCGTTCGGTCTCAAGAATGTTGGTGCTATTTATATGAGGTCTATGACAACCATCTTTCATGATATGATTCACAAAGGGATCGAAGTGTATGTAGATGATGTCATAATCAAGTCCCGCAAGAGTTCGGATCAGTTGACTCACTTGAGAAAATTCTTTGATTGTTTACGCCGATACAATTTGAAGTTAAATCCCGCCAAATGTGCTTTCGGAGTGCCAGCTGGTAAGTTGTTGGAATTTATAGTCAACAAGAAGGGCATTGAGCTTGACCCTTCCAAGATCAAAGCGATTCAAGAGTTACCTCCTCCGAAGACCAAGAAGGAAGTGATGAACTTTCTAAGAAGCTTGAACTACGTCAGCCGGTTCATAGCTCAATCCACAGTGGTGTGTGAGCCCATCTTCAAGTTGTTGAAAAAAGATGCCCTGACCAAGTGGACCGGAGAATGTCAAACTACTTTGGATGCCATCAAGAATTATTTGTCCAATCCACCGGTGTTGGTCCCTCCTCGAGAAGAAAGTCCTTTGTTGCTATATCTATTTGTCTCAGATAATGCATTTGGATGCGTGCTTCGTCAACACGATGAAACAGGAAAGAATGAGCGAGCCATCTATTACTTGAGCAAAAAATTCACTACATATGAGGCTCGTTACACTTTGTTGGAGAGGACATATTGTGCTTTGACTTGAATTGCTCAGAAGTTAAGACATTATTTGTCTTCTTATACCACATACCTTATTTCCAAGATGGACCCGTTGAAGTATATTTTCTAGAAAGCAATGCCGACCGGGAAGTTGGCTAAATGGAAAATGCTTTTGACTAAGTTTGATATTGTGTATGTGACCTAGAAAGCAATAAAAGCACAAGTCTTGGCTAATAATCTTGCAGAGAGTCCAGTTGATGAAGAGTATGAACCGCTCAAGACTTACTTTCCCGATGAAGAGGTTGCATTTGTGGGTAAAGATATTTCTGAAGCATATCCTGGTTAGAGAGTAGTATTCTTTGATTGACCAGCGAACCACCAAGGAAGAGGTATCAGAGTAGTCCTAGTGTCAAAATCTGGTCAACATTATCCGATGGCGGCTAAACTCTGATTTGATTGCACAAACAACACGGCTGAATATGAAGCTTGTATCCTTGGTTTGAAGATGGCCATCGACATGAATGTTCAAGAGCTGCTGGTTATTGGAGACTCAGACTTACTAATTCATCAAGTTCAAGGAAAATGGGCCGTAAAGAATCTAAAGATCACACCGTATGTGCAGTATATACAGAAGTTGTGCAAAAGGTTCCGCAAGATTGAGTTCAAACACACTCCCAGGACACAAAACGAGTTGGTCGATGCTCTCGCCACCATTGCCTCGATGATTAAACATCTAGATACAAGTTATATTGATCCCTTGGATATAGAGGTAAAAGATCAGCATGTCCATTGTTCACATGTTGAAGCAGAACCAGATGGTTTGCCTTGGTATTTTGACATCAAGAAGTATTTAGAAACCGGGACTTATCTTGAAAATGCAACGTTCAACCAAAAGAAGTCGATACGCCGTATGACCCTCAATTTCTTTGCAAGTGGGGAAATACTTTATAGGAGGACTCCAGATTTAGGTCTCCTCAGATGTGTTGATGCTAGTGAAGCTGCGAAGCTTCTGGAATAGATACATGCCGGAGTTTGTGGTACTCACATGAATGGGCTCACTTTGGCGAGGAAGATCCTTCGAGCCAGCTATTTTTGGATGACTATTGAACATGATTGTTACAAGTTTGTGCAAAAATGACATAAATGTCAAGTGCATGGTGATTTGATTCGAGTGCCGCCTCACGAACTTAATGTTATGAGTTCACCTTGGCCATTTGTAGCTTAGGGCATGGACGTCATTGGTCCAATAGAGTCAGCCGCCTCTAACGGACACAAATTCATTTTGGTTGCCATTGACTACTTCACCAAGTAAGTGGAAGCAACTTCGTATAAGTCGATGACCAAAAAGGTTGTAGCTGATTTTATTCGCAACAATTTCATATGTAGGTTTGGAGTGCCAGAATCCATCATTACTGATAATGGAGCGAATCTCAACAGTCATCTGATGAGAGAGATATGTGAACAATTCAAGACTACTCACCAAAATTCAACCACTTATCGTCCCCAAATGAATGGAGTTGTAGAAGCCGCCAACAAGAACATAAAGAAGATTTTGAGGAAAATGATTGATAATCGCAGAGGTTGGCATGAGATGCTACCGTATGCTTTGTTGAGTTACCGAACGACTATCAGGACATCTGTTGGAGCTACTCCATATTTGCTAGTGTATGGAACAGAAACAGTTATACCTGCAGAAGTTGAAATACCTTCATTGAGAGTCATCCAAGAATCTGAATTGAGTGATGTTGAATGGGTTCGCAAGCGGATTGATCAGTTAATATTGATTGATGAGAAGAGAATGGTTGTTGTTTGGCATGGACAACTGTATCGACAGAGAATGATTTGTGCTTTCCATAAGAAAGTAAGAGCCAGAATGTTTGAGATTGGTCAGTTGGTTCTCAAATGTATTTTCCCTCACCAGGATGAATATAAAGGGAAATTTGCACCAAATTGGCAAGGACCCTACATGGTTCGTACAGTGTTATCTGGAGGTGTCTTAGTCCTGTCAGAGATGGATGGCACTGAATGGCTGAAACCTTTCAATTCAGATGTTGTCAAGAGATACTATGTGTGAAGTTTCAACTTATATTTTTTGTCATTTCCTTGTAATCGTTCTATTTGCTTGTAATCGCTTTATTTAGAATTTTATCCCTTTGTAATGAACTACGTCTAACCTGAATTCTCAAGAATGAGATATGTAGGCGGCTGATGTCGGCCTCGGTCGCCCCTTTAACCCCTTTTAATATTTTTCTTTGTATTTAAACAACATTCGACCTGAATTCTCAAGAATGAGATACGTAAGTGGCCTATGTAGGCCTCGGTCAGTTCCTTATTTAAATTTCTTATTTTTATTAATCCCGAAGGGAGAATTACGTTTGACCTGATTCCTGCCTCAGCATGATACGTAGGCGCCACGACGGCTCAGTCATATTTCCCGTAAGATTTTTATTTTTTCTTTACAATAAAAACTAGAACAGGATTTTTGAGAGAGACCAAAAATTTCTCAAGAAGCAGATCTCTCCAACAAAGTCAAAACTAAAGTTACTTTGAAATTTGCAACTAGGACAGAATTTTTGAGAAGATCTCAAAAATTTCACGATTTGTTTATCAACAGTTCAAGATACGCCAAGACAATTAACTGGGACAGAAATTTTGAGGATGACCTCAAAATTTCAACAAGGTTCGTCAAAAGTTTAGAGCAACTTTGTATGCTTCCCAACAAGTAATCAGATAGATCCCGAAACATCAACTCCAAATGGCGTTCATCAAGCTTGACATGACATGGCACTTGGCAGTAACCTTTTCCAAACATTACTTTAGAAAATCTATTTTTTTATAAAAAAATTCCCACATGTTTAAATTATTTGCATAAAAATGTTTCGTCTTATCTATCAAGAAACGGGAGATTGGAGAATTCAACCGGAGATAGTCAAATAAGGAGCAGGCAACTGAAGAGATCTACACAGATCAGTTCATTTTAGACTAACAATGTTTCTGTGGATGCAGGAAAAGTTTTACGCTTCTTATATAAAAAAATTAGAAATATGAGTAGCATTACTTCGTTCAAATTCTCGGCAAAGCGAGGATCATAATGAACATTGCACATATGTTCGGAGATGAGACAAATGAAAACCACGAAGAGAGCAATATTATTATTTTCCAGCAACTAAAGATTCCTGGAAGACGTCATCATAAAATTAAACATGATAATATTACCACCCGGATGGTAATTTATATCTATCGTCAAATGAGATAATACCACTATTTCGGGGGTCATTTTTATTAAATTGTCAATTGAGATGATACCGCCACCCAAAAATACCCCACAACATCACATATGTTGCTCGGTGAAGCATTATCTCTGTTTGGTACCGGGGACGACATCCTCAAAAGATTCATTTATTGCAAGAAGGGATTCATGCATCGCGGAAAAGAGATGAATGCATCGCGGGAAAAGATTCATGCATCGCGGGAAAGAGATTCACACATCGCATAAAAATATTCATGCATCGCGGCAAAGAGATTCACACATCGCAGAAAAAAATCAATGCATTGCGGGAAAGAGATTCATGCATCACGGAAAAAGATTCATGCATCACAGGAAAAAGATTCATGCATCGCGAGAAAAGATTTATGCATCGCGGAAAAAAGAGCCATGCATAGCAAGAGAAAAAAAAGTCATGCATCATGGAAAAAAGAGCCATACATAGCAAGAGAAAAAGTCATACTTCGCGGGAAAGAGATCGATGCATAGCAAGAGAAGGATTCATGCATCGCGGGAAAGAGATTTTCGCATAGCAAGAGAAAAGTCATGCACATCAAGAGAAAGATTTACCCATCACAAGAGGATCAACATCAACTGCATCATTTTTCTTTGTAAAATTGACATCAAGAGAACCATCAAAAATGACATCAGGAGAACCGTCAACATATTACATCAGCTTATTTTATTGCTTTAACATCAAAGAAAGAGTACATTGAAGATTATATTGCAAATATGAGACACAAGCTTTATTTGCTTTACGTCAAGCCCGATGGAGTTGACGTCGAACGTCCAAGGAAAACAATCAAGTGTCAACACGGTAAAAGACAATATCACCCCATTTGAAATGCATTTTATGCTAATGAGTTTTATCTCAATCTTTTCTGAGAGCATCCCAAGAGGATGAATACTCAAAGCAAACCACAGGTGCGGACGACATAAAAAAAGATGTAGCACAACGCGAAAATTTTTCTTAGCAGTGAACTAGGACATAGTCCAAAGAGGAGTGCCAAACTCTTAGGACGCGAGCAGAGGAGCGACTTCCACCACAATCAAACCACACCCCTATCGAAGGCATGTGATTTTATCTTTGGGTTTGTCGGTTTCATTTTCGCATCCGAAAATCTTATCTCTACCAGAAGCAGCTTTCCAATCTGAGTGACAACGCACCAAGAGCTTTGGAAACTATGCTCGTGTAAGTACTTACTTATGGGTGTGAAGTGCACCGCATTCATGGCTAAGAAGTTGCAAGCCTCATTTTCATACTCGACTTATTTGTCACTTCTCCAGAACAAAAGGTTATCTTGCATAATAGATTTCTTTTTCAACCAATTGGGTCGAACTACAAGTGGCCTGAATTTCATATAGCCTGAGATATGTAGGAAACCCATTTCCAAAGTTCGACCATAATTCCTAAAGTCCGTACCAAAATTCCTTTCTAAAAGGATGAATATGTGGTCGGTCAAAATTGAATTCGTCAATTTCATTTTCCTCGGATTTCTTTCATCAATCTAAGTAAAACGAGGCACAGTTGTTGACACCCAATTTTGACCCTCCCAAGTAATAATTAATATCCGAGCTCCTTGATTTTCAAATGATTTAAAATAATTGACTTTGTAAAATTCAAAATATTTTTTCAAGTTAGTTTTAAAATAGTTTTGTCACCTTTTTATAATTTTAAATAATATATGTATACTTTTGCATTTTATAAATATTCGAAAATCGTCTAAAAAGGTTTTGTTTAATTAAATATTTGGTTAGTTTGCTTAGTTATTTAATAGTTTATAATTTGGAGTTAATTAGTGTTTGATAAAATTTCATTTTATATATAATCTGATTAATTATTTTATTTCGTGAAAGGTAAGAAGCTCATTAATTAATTATATTAATTCGTCCTATTTAAGTTTAGTCGAATTTGCTAAATTAAACTCGATGTGGCTAATTTCTTAAATTCAAAAGACCAATTGTTAGGCTTTCAGCTGACCCATCTCCTATTCCCAGCCCATGCTTTCTATTCCAAAACCTACGTGACCCAACTCCAATTCCCACCCTTTTTTCCCTATAACACATCCCACCATTTTACAATCTTTTTCAATTCCCAACCCAGCCCACTCCTTAAACCCGACCCAACCCAATTCCCCTATTAATTAAAGAAACCCAGAACTTTCATTAGCAGTAGTACACGATTCTCCAACATCAACGCCCCAACATCAGCGAGTAAAGTGACATACAGCGGACGATGACAAATTCCAGCAGTCCAACGTCTCTCTCCACGCAGCAGTCACAGCAGCCGTAAAAGCATCTGCAAATTCGTCCTTGCCAGCGCGAGATGAGGCCACATAGGACAAGAGGGACATTGAAGTTGATCCAGCCGTCTGTCTCCCTTTCCTCTTTCGGAATGGGTCGAAATTCCAAGAAAAGGGGTAAAAGATTTTCGATTTTGAATTTGGAATGGGCCTTGAACCTGGATTTTTTCGTCCCTTTTCCCCCCCATTTTTCCGAACCCTATTTCCCTTCTATATAATTTCTTTTATTCACGGTTGAAAGGGGAGATTTTTTTAGTTGGGAAATTTGGTGTTAGAGAAAATAGTTAGAGGAGATATTGATAGAATCAGTTGCAATTTGAGAGAAAATACAAGGGATTATTAACTACAATAAATATTTGAGAATAGCTCTCAGAGGCAGAGAGGCCAAGAGTTTCAAGCTCTGCTCGTGCCTTTGTCCATTTTCTCTGTTCACGTAAGTTCACCGAATCATCGTGTGGTGGAAGAGTCTATCCCTGTTCGTTTGTTGTCCAGTCCGCTACTGCAAAAGAGGTAAACTCCGACCCCTTCTAAGTTTTTGTGGTCCTTTTATAATTTGATCTTAGACGTATAAGCTTGGTTGGATTCTCGCTTCATTCGTTTTGAATAGCCTTTGTGTTTGCTTGCCTCTAGTATGTTGCATGAGTGATTAGTGTCATGTTATTTCTCTCCCTTTGTTCTGTTGGAAATTCTGGAGTCACGAATGGCGACTACCCTGTTTTGTTTCAGTTCGAAGAAGGAGAGAACCCCCATATTCTTATATGGTGTCATTAATCTAAGTGTATTCATAGATTTTTTTGCATGTTTAGTTCTTTTAATCGTCTTCTTGAATATGTGTTAGCATAACTTGTTTTCTTCCTCATAAAAGTGTTCTTGTTTGTCATGTGAAAGTGATTATTGTATGTGTAAGTTGTGTTAGTTATAATAGTTATTGATTTGGTCATATGATTGTTTCTTTAATTAATGTGTTAAGTAAAGGATTTTTCATTCTCATATTTATTTGGAATACGTGTGATCTCCATTTTCTATCCCTAATAAATTTGATAAATGGTAAAAATATTAGTGTAGGTCTGAATTTATGGATGAAATGAGTTCTGTCCTTTTCCTTTTGTGTCACTTCTTTCTCTGTGATTTTCACGTGTTAAGCACAAAGTTCGGGGTTAATGTTTTGAGTTCCTTTATCGCTTGTCAACCTGTTTATCCTTGTTTCATTCAAAAATGGCTATCTTATTCGCTTTTCCTTTAATTATGAGCCGAAATTATTTCTTAATTCAGGAGTTTTCCCGGTAGTTTGTTGATTTCCTTGAAGTTAAATCGCGAAGGTTGAGAATTATGTTTAGATATGTTTAAATGGTAGCTCTCCGTCATAAGCCTCTTATGCTACTGTGAATTTCTATTTGTCAATTAATTCATTTAAGTTCACTGTTGACATTTTTCTTGACCCCCCATTTTGTTGATATTAATCCCTTTATTTGTTTATTAGTTAAGAAGTTTTGTTAATTGAGCATGCACATCCCAAATTCAATTAGCTGCCTTGGTCAATTCTTTCTTTGAATACATGATTATCATCCTATGTTAAGAAGTGCCTTGGCTTATAGCCACGTTTTTTGTCTTCAAGTTGTACTGTGTGTTTGTCTTTCTTATGAATTAATTATTGGACCGTGTGTGTGCCGAGATTTGTATTTCTTTTCTAACTCTCTTTATCTGTTGTTGCATGTGAAATCTGCTCGGGTCCTCGCGGACTCTATCCTTGTATTTTCCCCTCGGCCACGGAGGCCCAATTCTATTTTATTCGAGTCAGTCGGCCCTTAAATCGATGAACAGCTCCCAGAGTTGAAAGAGCATATAGTAAATCGCAAAGATTGAAAAAAGATTGGGCCAAAGGCCCACTCTTAATTCCCAAATTTGTATTTTGTTACTTTTGGGTCTAAACCCACTTATCTATTATCTTGCTAGAATTTAGGACGGGTGAAAAAATTGGGCCTAAGGCCCAAACAATATTTTATTTTATGTTAGTTTAGGACAGGTGCAGATGACTCAAATGGGCCAAAGGCCCAAAACGAAAATGGGCCCAAATACTAGCCCAGACGGACAAGAAAACCAGATTTGGGCCCAAATCTCTTTCCCTCCTTTCTTTGTTGTGTTTGTTTACTCGTTATTATCTATTATTAATCTTAAAGTTAAAAATTTCAAATCCCCAAAAGACACCCATTATGAATTAATCACTTAACCAAATTATTCGTCTCTCACTTGACTTAAAAAATGAATAAATAAATAAATAAGCTTACAAAATACTCACTTAAATAATATTTCAATATTTTTCTATTTCTCCCTTAAAATGGACCTAACTACAAAATAAGTTCAATTTTGCAATTCAAGTTAAGTCAATTTTTTAGCCAAATGATTAATTGCCGGATAATCGCGTATTAGCGGGCATTTCGGGTTCTTTCAAACCCTTCCCGAAATGCTAATAAGAACCCCGAATCCCCTTTAAGTTTTCATTAAATTTCTGTTTTAGTCTTTTGAAAATGATAGTTTTCTTAATTTTACTTACAAATTAAGTGGCGATTCTAAAACCAGTCTAAACATATTTTTTAATAAAAACAGTGTGTCTGCATGACTTTCTAGATGTATCACACTCTTTTCATGTGAATTCAATTTTTTATGTGTCTATTCCCTATATTTTTCATGTGAATTTAGTTAAGTGTTATATGAATGTAAAAGTGATTGCAGCATTAAAGAAGTAACATATTGATTGACTTTTAAGTCACGTGTGCCTCCACGACACACTAGACATGTGAGCCTGCATGACTCTCGAGATATGACAAATTCTTTTCACGTTAATTCAGTTGAAGTGCCTATTCCCTGAATTCTGTCACGTGAATTTAATTTTTAATATGCTCTTTCCCTAAGTTTTTTTCACGTGAATTTAGTTATGTGATTTAGGAATTTAAATAGTGATTGCACATTAAAGATGTGAGGTACTTAACCATTACTAACTCGTGTCTGTCTTCATAACACACTAGACATGTAAGCCTGCACATTTGTTTGATAGGTTATACTCTTTTCACGTAATTTCAAATTTTGATGTGTCTATTCCCTAGATTTTTTCACGTGAATTTATTTTTTTGCTTTATGAATTTAAATATTGATTACGATATTAAATGTGTGAGGTACCGAATAACTGTTAAGTTATGTGTGCCTACACGATTTTCCAGATGTGGCAGACTCTTTTCATGTGAATTCAATTTTTTATCTGCTTGTTCTCTAGATTTTTATCACGTGAATTTAGTTAAGTGTTTTATGAATTTAAATAGTGATTGTAACATTAAATGTGCATCATACTAAATGACCCTTTAAGTCATGTGTGTCGCACGCACACTAGTTATGTGGGCGTGCACAATTCTCGAGATATAACAAATTATTTTCATGTTCCTTAGATTCTTTTTCACGTGAAGTTAGTTATGTGATTTAAAATTAAAATAGTGATTGTGCATTAAAGGCGTGAGGTACTTAACAATCCTTATCTCGTGTTTGTCTGTACAACACACTAGACACGTGAGCCTGCACGTTTGTTTGATGTGTTATATTGTTTTCACGTGAATTCAATTTTGATTTGTCCATTCCCTAGATTTTTCTTCACATGAATTTAGTTATGTGCTTTAGGAATTTCAATAATGATTGTGATATTAAATGCGTGAGGTAGTAAATAACTACTACGTTGTGTGTGCCTGCACAACTTTCTAGATGTGGCAGACTCTTTTCACGTGAACTCAATTTTTATATGCCCATTCCCTAGATTTTTTTTATGTGAATTTAGCAAGTTCTTGATGAATTTAAATAGTGGTTGCGACATTAAAGGCGTAACATACTGAATGACTCTTAAGTCATGTGTGCCTGCACGACACACTAGTCGTGTGAGCTTGCATAACTCTTGAGATATAACAATCTCTTGTCACGTGAATTTCGATGAAGTGCCTATTCCCTAAATCTTATCACGTGAATTAAATTTTAATATTCTCATTTCCTAGATTCATTTTCACGTGAATTCAATTAAGTCCTCTATAAATGATTACTTTTATCTTCTTAGATTTTTTTTGCGAAAAAAAAATATTAAGTTTTTTGGCACTCCAATAATTTTCCCACATCGATAAACTTCTATTAAGAGTAATCTTTTGAACATTTTTTATCCTAAACTGTGACTCTTTTGGCTTCAAAATCTACATACATATTTTAAGGTACTACTCTTGGTTTGACGATAGTGATATACCCATGAACTAAAATAGATTTAAAGATGACTTTCATAGAGGAGAGAGGAAAGCTTCTTAGATTGAGCGATAGGCCGACGTCTTTCAATAAAAAAAAATAGAATTCAAATGCACACATACCCTATTTTTACTTTACAACCAGCTTCCGTCCTAAGAGATGACTTCCGTAGAGGAGAGGGGAAAGCTTCTTAGATTGAGCGATAGGCCGACGCCTTTCAATCAAAACAAATAGAATTCAAACGCGCACATACCCGACCCAAGAGATGACTTCCGTAGAGGAGAGGGGAAAGCTTCTTAGATTGAGCGATAGGCCGATGCCCTTTCAATCAAAATAAATAGAATTCAAATGCACACATACCCTGTTTTTACTTTACAACCAGCTTCCGACCCAAGGTGATTATAGAGGCTACCTTTTAGTAACGGGCCGTGATATGGGCCTAAAAGGCCGCAACTCAAATCTAATCTCTATGACCCGCGTGACATTTTTGGCGCTAATCTCCTTTTTCCGCGAACAGTAAATAGCGCGGGAAAAAAATGTTTCCTTTTAGCCGTTTATTTCAACCCTACTGAATCCCCAATTCGTTTTCATTTTCACAGTAACCTCGATTGTATCTACATTCTCAGTTTTTTCAGATTTGTTTTTGCTAACAATGGGTTCTTCAACAACAGTTGTGTTGCGGAGAAGAACGGAAGCTCCAAAACCGGGAAGAACATTGAGGAACAGGTCGAATTCAAGGAAAATGGTTGATGAAGATGAATATAGCGATACTTCATGTGAGAAATGTGGATCTGGTGAATACCCAGCTCAGCTTTTGCTTTGTGACAAATGTGACCGAGGATTTCATCTGTTTTGCTTGAGACCCATTCTGGCTTCAGTGCCCAAAGGCTCCTGGTTCTGCCCATCTTGCGATGATAACAAGAATCTGACAAGTACGTTTATGGGTTTTCAGTTTTTATTCGTTTATTTAATATTTGAACCTTTTTGTGTTAGAATTGTATTTGGGTGTTTATGAAATTTGCTAAAAATTGAAGTTTGATGTTGGTTGCCTAATCTTTAATTGTTTGACGATATGGTGTTAATTGTTATAGACAAATGTAGTTCGAGTACTTAATGTCAGCAAAGCAACTCTTTTATTTTTGGGTGTGTGAAACTGTAAATAAGTAGATGTCAAGAACCCCCAATGTTAGAACATCCCAAACTATTGAGTGTTGGAATGGAAGGGTCCAAATCAAGTGTGATGAGTTTTGATGATCTGTAGAGTACATTGATTGTACAGAAATGGCTATGATGGAGTTTCTCTTATTCGTATTAACAGCTAATCTAGGGGGAATGGTTTTATGCAGTGCTAATGATTTAATAACTATCTTTATAGCCCCAAATGTTTCAGTTTATGCTCCTACCTATTATCAATCCCAAGTAGTTTTGAATTAAGGTGTACTAGTAGTACTAGTTTCTTTAAGAAGGAATAGTAATCATAAACAAAAATTAAGTTGGACAGATGTGATTTTACAATGCCATGGTCATGACAGTAAAGATTTAATTTTGTACATGTTGCAATGCAATGTCTTGGCTATTTCAACCTTGAAGGAATCAGGTATCCAATACTTGCTCATACTTAATTTATTAGTGATTGATAAGGTGTTCTTATCTAATGTGCAGAATTTCCTCTTGTGCAAACAAAGATTGTTGATTTTTTCCGAATTCAGAGACCGTCTAACTCGATTAATGAGTTTAGTCCAGGCAAAGGTAAATTCTTTATAGTTATGATGATATTATCTTATTTGTTTGCTCTAATTACTTGATCTGATGGGTGTTGCTTTTGGTTGTTTTTTTGGTCAGATTGCCAGAAAAAGAGAAAACGTGGCAGTAGCTTGGTAGTGTCAAAGAAGAGAAGAAGATTATTGCCCTTCAATCCGACTAAGGATCCTACCCGGAGATTGGAACAAATGACATCTCTTGCTACTGCCTTGTTAGCAGCTGGAGCAGATTTCAGCAATGAGCTCACCTATATGCCAGGCATGGCCCCACGAACAGCTAATCATGCAGCACTCGAGCGAGAGGGAATGCAGGTAAAGTAGAACATAATCTTTAACATTTTGACTGACCAAATGTGTTAGATTTAGACTGGCATGCTATTACTGAATCTAACTTTGAGCGGGATCAAAACTTCCAATTGGAAGAAAAATAAAAAGGATGCATTGGCACATTGTAGTGGTTAAAGATGTCATCTTACTATCTTATTGTTAGATAAGAAATGGTCAAATCTCCCTGAATATCGTATGATTTATTTAGCTGACCTCAACTGACTAGATTCAGGATAGTCTGATTGACTGAGGGGAATCCTCTATGTTGTTTGCCACATAACCACTGGAGTGGTTTACATGGATACATGCCTTCTGAGTTCTGTGTGATGCTTGAAATTTTCACAAGGAGATAATTATATCTAGCTACTTAGTATGCCCATAGGGGAAAAGCTATGTAAAGCCTTAAAAGGAGAAATTGTGGGAAGATTTTTTATTTCATTGTATTATTTAGAAAAAAAGTCCCAACTTTCTTAGCATGATCCTTTGAATTGCCTATTTTTCAAATCTTAAGACTTCTGTTATTGAACTCCAGGTATTATCTAAAGACGATACAGAAACTTTACAGTTGTGCAAGAACATGATGAAACAGGGTGAATGGCCACCACTCATGGTTGTTTTTGATCCCAAAGAGGGGTATGTATTTGATCACTACTTTGCTTTCCAATGTATTCACAAATTATCATTTTTTTTGTGTGATCTTAATATGGGATGCTTAATTTATCTATTTATTTTTGCTTTGTCAGATTTACTGTTGAAGCAGATGCGATCATAAAAGACTGGACAATAATTACAGAGTATGTTGGAGATGTTGATTACTTGAATAACCGGGAAGCTGATGATGGAGATAGCATGATGACTCTTTTAACTACTAATGATCCTTCAAAAGACCTTGTCATTTGTCCTGACAAGCACAGTAATATTGCTCGCTTCATCAATGGGATAAACAATCATACTCCGTATGTTCTTTTCCATCAAACACTTTGTGCTTTTTGAAGTTACTATGATATCTCATGCTTATCCTATGGTTCTTTTTGTACGACACTTAATTATGTCAATCACACATCATCAATTTGTCCAGCATCTATGTGTTCTTTCTCGAGGAATGAGACTGAATTCTTTCAGAAAATCTTAATATTGCAAGCAGTTTAATCTAAAACTGGATGCACAAGTTAAACATAAACATGGCTAGTGTTAAATTCAAGCATGCCTTATACATGCATTGTATGGTTTTTCTTTTGGAGTGTTCTTAATTATACATATTTCTTCTAATGCAGCGCTGGGAAGAAGAAGCAGAATTTGAAGTGTGTGAGGTTTGATGTTAATGGTGAATGCCGTGTTTTATTGGTTGCAAACAGAGACATTCGAAAGGGAGAGAGGCTATATTATGACTACAATGGTTATGAAAATGAATATCCAACTGAACACTTTGTTTGACCTCATAGGATCCAAACTGATTTGTCCAAGCATTGGTTTCTAAATTTTTTAATCTATTGGCACATAGCGCAAAAGCCCTGTAAACACAAGGGCAAGGTGGAGGGGTATACAAGAATGATTTTGTCTTGGGTGCATCAAATGCAAAGAATTCCTAGTTTTTGGTCTCATTGTCCAGTCTCACATCTCATACCTTCAAGATATTTTTAGTGGACTCATGGAACATGACAACCTGAGAAGATTTTGTGTACAAATGTCAGCTATTGGTGATTCATCATGTAAATGCTTTAAGCTTGGTTCTGGAGAAAAAACTCATGTTTCCCCAAACAGAAGTTCCTTAAGCTGTCCAAGCAAAAACTTCTATTATTGAACTTTAGCATTTTCTGATCAATATCAGACTTGTTGAATATCCTTATAAATTGAATTGAATTGAATTGGTCAAGTTCAATCTCTACTTAGTATTGTTACATTTGAATTAATTGAACAATCATTGCAGCCTACTTTTTGTGAAGATTAAAGTTAGGCATGACAAGATACGAGGGAGAGATGCTTATACGGTACATACGGAGACATGACCTTAGATAGGAGAATATAGGAGATATAGATTAAGGTAGAAAGCTAGTAAGTAATTGAGTGTTGTCTCGCTTATCCTTCTATACTAGCAATAGTAGCATAATTCTTGTAGTTCCTTGTTTCTACGACTTCTGTTACTATTTATTATTCTTTGTACTTTGATTATCGTATTATTTTTTGTAGTTACTGTAGTTCCTTTTTCAGAAAGTTCTGTCATGCCTTGTTGAGTATTTTGCCTTCATTTCTTCACTCTTGTTGTTTTCTTGAGCCGAGGGTCTATCATAAACAACCTCTCTACCTCCAAGATAGGAGTAATATATGCGTACACAACACCTTCTCCATACCCCCACTTGAGGGATTACACTGTGTATGTTGTTGTTGTTTGAGATTTCTATTCCTTTTTGTTTTTCATCTGGTCCACTTTGAAATCCGACTAATCCGAATTTGCTTTAAGCAAATGCTGAATTCTTATCCAGGCTTCCCCTTTTAAAACTCTAATGGGCTTCAAGCCCAATATGAATCTGAAACATTTCTAATGTTCAAAGTACATAGAGTCTAATTCCTAGCCAAAAACTTCAATGTATTTTCCTTTGTAAAAAGTCATCAGATCCAAGACAAGTACTGGTGAAAATGTACCAAGATAAGAAGAAATTGGGGCTGATTGTCAGTAGTCCATAAAAACACTTTAAAACCTATGATTATAATGATCTATATATATAACTGCATGCAGAAAGGACCACCCTATGGCTCTGAATGTTTTAAAACCAAACCAAACAGAAACACAGAATAGAGTGGTCCTTTTTATTAATTAATAGCTTACCATAATCAGTAGACTTCTCACACAACACACATATACACAAAGACAAACATATCACAGTTGTCTCATTTACTTCCTTTTACCCCTTTCTCGTGACACACTTTTCTTTTTAATCTCAGAACGACACTCCTAAACCCGGATACACTTGGTCATGAGAATTCTCCTTTCAAATACTATAACATGTTTAAGGTTCATACATTTCATTTTAAAATTCTATATTGATTCAACGTATGTCACATGAATTGGAACAGAGCGAGTAGTCGATAATTTTAAGCCGTTGATTTTGAGTTACTGTCCCCACAACAATTTTAGGTGCGTGGTCCAGAAGGTGTAATTTTTATGTACTTCAATTTTCATGTTGCATTTTTTTTTAACCAGTGGACAAGAAAAGAGAGGAAAAAATGGCAGAGATTTTGTTATCAGAAAAAAAAGAAAAAAAAAGTGCACAAATCCCAAGATAAAAAAAGAAGAGTTTGTCAACTATTACCATTATTACTCAACATATATACATAATACTCAAACCGCCCACTTTATATCTTTTGTTGATCCACTGCAGTGATCAGTTGTGTTGTGTCCCTCATTATTTAATTTGTTTGTTTTCACAAATTTTTTCTATAAGAAAGAGTGCCCTCTTTTGTTGTTTTTCATTTGTTTTTCTAGTGACATAATTCACATATGTATGCACATTGTTGTTTTATTATATTTTCTGAACATAAATCATCAGTTTATTGTCTGCTCATTTTTCTCTTTCTCTTTTTACCCGTCCGTCGCTATTTTGCATTATAGCTAATGAAAACCTGACGTTACATAAGATTAGCGACAAATTTTGCTATTTAGCTATAAATTTTATTCATCGTTAAATCCAGTTTTTTTGGTAATCATGCTAGGATTATAGTACTATACAGTAGGACTTATTTATGTAGTAAATAATGATGCAAAGAATGTTATTTAGTATGTGGCGGAGCCAAAAATTCAAGTAAGGATTCAAAGAGAAAAAAAAAATATGTCGAAGAAATTCAACGAATTATATATATACATAAAAATGAATAAAATTACGTTATAAGTGAATTCATTAATTATGGAGTATGTATTTACATTATCCATGCATATAATTTAGTCACCAATCTTTCAGTGCATGACTGCGTGGACATCTCATTAGCTTACTTCAATTTTAAGTCAATATATAATGCAAAATGACATAGAAAACCTCTTTTTACTAGAAAAGATAAGGTATACACGAACCTTACCCGAGGAGTCTAGAAAAGCAATTTACAAAAGAAAATACATACATATGAAAGAAAGAATAACTAGAAAACATTTTCCTCCATGCCAAACGTACACAACCTTAGTTGCCTCTCTTTATTATATTATACATAGAGGTGAAGCAAAAACACAATTCCAGTACAAAGAAAGGGATTTTTACATTGTATAGCCTCCTATCAAAATAATAACCGGCAAGTATATATTTTGTATATTAATGTATATCTATTATAATTTGCGATTGTAATTAATTTTGACGAGCGGCCAAATATGTAACTTTCCAAAAAAAACAGGGCCAGGCCCATGTAAAATGATCAAGTACAAAGTGGTTAGTGGGCACCCATCTTACTTAACACCTTCTCAGAGAAATACAACCATCACAAGAAAGTCCCACACCTAAATTACCCACCAACCCATATCCCTTTGTTTGGTGGAAAATGTATACGTTTCCACCTTCATTTCCGCCCCTTTTAATTTATTTTAAACTTAGTTGCAAATATGATAACCTTAAAAATCTTACTCCCTCCATCCCACTTTAAACGATTCAGAGTACGAGCGTTATATCATCTAACTTTCACAAGAAATTCAGGATATGAGGAGATGATATATGTATATATTTTTTTCATACTATATAAAAAGTACTATAAATTACGATCAAAAGAGAAAACTCGTTTAACTCCCGATGGTAAATGTGAGGGACAAAAAGAGTAAAATATAAGAATTTCAATATTCTCCATGCATTATGTATATCTGTTTATGGGTTGGCATTTTTTTTGTTTTTGTCTACCTACTACTCATAACTCAAATACAATTTTCTATGGACAACCACACGGTTTACTTCATTCAATGTTTAGTTGGTTCTTTTGTTTGCTCATTTCTAGGCTTATTTTTTACCCTTTCTTCCAAGAGGATCTTGAGTGGATTTTCTACAATTATTAACTATAGAGTATATATATAGTAACAATTATATCCCAAAGTCAACTAATAATTTTTGGGTAGTAATGTTCATTGCATAAGGGTACTCTCATGGTTAAGTTTCTTGGTTCAATTCATCTAATTATAGTATTTATAGAGTTGAAAATTGAAATTATCCCTTCAAAGAATGTCTTGGGATTCACTTATATATAGACAAAGGTAGTTAAATCAGTTGGCCTTGTTACTAGTGGTATTAATCTTGCATGTAGATGCCGGCTGTTAAAAGGACATTATTATATTCTAACTACTTCATTAACACTTTTAACGTGTCTGGCACGTGAGATGAAATCGTGATTTGAAATTATAATATAAAATCGTATGAGATGATGAAATTAAAGTAGTGCTTGGATATGTCATTTGAATTTTTTAGTTGTATTTTTTTTCATAAACATAACACATTGATCATAAATTATGAAAACTATTAAAATTATACAATCTATCACAAAAGTAAAATATATTATCACAAAATTATTCTACAAAAAAATACAACATTTACTAATCGAATTTTAGCTCCATAAAAGATAAAATTGAACATGAGTTGTCGTGTACTACTCTTGTTGAAGTAATAATAAATTTGGTTGGTGATAGTAATGACTAGTCTACACTATATCAAAAATGATTTTTAGTGGCAGTTAATTAGCGGCAACAACTTAATTGCCGCTAAATATATATTTTTTGGAAACAATTACCTGTGACAATTACATTTAGCTCTCCTTGTAAATACTGTTAAAGCTTATAATGACATTGGATTTAATGACAATTAACTAATGTCCGTGAAAATTTTAACATTCTTTTTGTTAATGTAGATCTCTAACAGTTATTTTAATTTGTTGTAGTATATATGCCGCTACCCTTTGGGTGCGCACAGGGTGTATATGAGTATATTTGATATAAATGGTTTAAAGATTGATAAGTGTAATAATATAAACTATAACTTTGTTTGCATAAAAAATAAATGATTAATAAATATAAAATGACGCTGTTGCTTTCTTTTATAAAAAAATTTGAAGGTCAATTTTTGTATTTGAAAAACATAAAATCATGATATGAAATTCTCAAAACAATTTATTTTAATTATTATTTTAAAGAATTTGGGATTTCATGATAATTGAAATCATTAGATAAAATCGTATGTCCATAAGCCTACTAAGCATAATAGATCTTTGAGAAAATGTACTTCATTATTTTAATTTGTTTGTTTGATTTTGATTTGATACGGAATATAAAAAAATAAAAAAAGCTTTTGAGTTTTATAATTTTAAATAAAAACTATGTATAATGTACCAAAATATCCTTTAATTTTATTATATTAAATATGTCAAGTAATTAAAATAGAGAAAGTAACATAAGAAAACTAGTAAATGATAAACAAATAAAAACATACAGAGTAACATAACCAAACTGTT